TCAGTTTCCTCATCTGTAAAAAGGGGATAATAATAGCACCCATCTCCTAGGGTTGTCATGAGGACCACATGAAATAATAATTGTAAAGCACATACCGCAATTCCTGGCATGGTAGTAGTAGCAGCAGCAGCAGCAGCAGCAGCAGCAGTGGTAAGGATTTGTTAGCTTTCTGATTTTTGGTAAGTTACACTTTACCAGTTTCTTCATGAGTTTCTAATAAGGTTTCACTAGTTTCTAAATGAGGTGTTTAGATCTTGTATAGTAAGGCCTTATTGGTAGAAATCACGGAAGTATGGGTGTTATTCTTTTCACTCATATGATATTCAGAAATTACAAAGGAGGCAGGGGAGGATAAATAGCAGTATTATTTAAGAAAGAGAGCCCAGGCCTTGGAGTCAAGTCTTGCTTCTGTCATATACTAACTGTATGACCACCACTTAACTTCGAACCTGCACCAGTAGGGAGGGAGTTTCCTACACCAGGAATACCTCACACCAACGAAATCACAGGTTAATCATTTCACCCTTGAATGTAGAAGGGTTCAGAGTTTACCTGACTGGCCCATATTGTTCACCATGACCTCTTAGAAAACAGAGTTCCTTGGGTTATTTCTATTTTTCAAGGTCCTGGATAATCAGTTGTAAAAATAACATCTATTGGGCCTTTCCTTCTCCCTGGTCTTGCCTCTTAAGTTTGGATCAAGAGAGGGAAAACAAACATATTTATTGAATCTGGTAGACATAGGGAGTGTGTGTTGTTTTGAATGTTCTCCTTCTCTGAGAGAAGAAGCAACTCTGCAACTCTGATCTGGTACTGTCTTAGATATGGCAGGTTACAGATTTCATAAATGTTTTCCTATTTTCCAGTTTCTAAAGTTTAAGGTGTAGATTTCATAACCTATTTTCATTTAATTTTTCAGGAACAGCTGAGTAATCAGAATACTGAAGAAGTTATACAACAATATCAAAACATATGTAAAGGTAAGAAATAATAGACTTTATATGATAAAATGGGGCTAAATATGTTCTATTATAAATTTGTTTTGAAATTTCTTTTAAAATTCTTAAGTGAAATGGAATTAGTGTTTATTTTTACAGAATAAATGGAAAAAGGTGACTAGGTTTTACTGATTTCTCATTTTCACATTCTTCTTGGAAAAACACTAGCAAATGGAAGCCCTATAAAAACAGAAGACTGCATTCTTATTAATAAATGTTTCTTTTACACAGAGTAAAGTGTTTTACTGAATTAGTTGAAAAGTTATATATAATGAACTCTTCCCATATGTACTCAATGTGTTTATGTATTTTAAAAAAAAATTATGTGCCTTTTCTAAAAGGAAAATGTGTATATTTGGGGGAAGTGTAGCATCATTCTTTTAAAATCACTTTAATATTAAATCTTTGTGGCAAATAAGTCAGTAAGTATTTATTAAGCACCCAGTATATGTCAAGCCCAGTGCCAGGCATTGGGGATGAAACTACAGAGAACAAAAACAATTTTTATTGTTGTTATTTAGTCATTTTCAGTCATGTCTGACTCTTCTTGACCCCATTTGGGGTTTTCTTGGCAAAGATACTGGAGTGGTTTGTCCTTTCTTTTTCCAGCTAATTTTACAGATGAGGAAACTGAGGCAAACAGGGTTAAGTGACTTCCTCAGGATCACACAGCTACTAAGTATCTGAGGCTAGATTTGAACTCATGAAGATGAGTCTTCTGATTCCAAGCCTCGTGCTCTGTCCACTATGCCACCTAGCTGCCCAACAAAACAATCCCTATTCACAAAAAGCTTACATTCTAATGGAAGAACAGACAAGTATTTATAAAAATACATAAAATGTAAATATAAAATTAGCAAATAGAAATACATACAAATGCATTAAATACACGGTAGTTAGGGAGAAAGGACACTGGCAATTGGAGCATCAGGAATTTGGGGGAGCATTGAGCTTGAGCTGTATCTTAAAGGAAAAGGGCTCTAAAGCAAAAGTTGAGTAAATGCATTTTAAGCATGGGACTTGCCCAATGCAAAGGTATGGAGATGAGAAATGGAGTGTTTTGTGTGAGGAACAGAAAAAATAATTTAGCTAGATTGCAGAATATAGGATAGGGAATAATGCGCAGTGAGGTTGGGGCCAGATTGTGTTGGACTGTAAAGGCCAAAAAGAGGAGTTTCTCTTTCATCTTAGAGGTATAGGAGGCTGCTGGAGTTAATTGAGTAGGGAACTCACATGGTCAGATGTGTGCTTAAGGAAAACCCTCAGGTGCCAGTGTATTGGGTGGACTGAAGGGTTTTGAGAGACTCAAGGCAGGGAGACCAGTGAGGAAGCTGTTGCAGCAAACCAGGGGTCAGCAAAATACTGCCTGAGTTTTTATAATGCCAGCAAGCTAAGAAAGCTTTTTACATTTTTAAAAATAAAGTTTTTTGTATTTTTAAATGTTTTTAAAAATCATTCTTAACTTGTGGGCCATACAAAAACAGGCAACTGTCCAGATTTGCCCCTTAGGCTATATTTTTCTCATCCCTGATCTAGGAGAAAGGTGAAGAAGGCATGATTAAGGTGGTAGCCAGGTGAGTAGAGGAAATCAGCAGGATTTGAGAGCTATTGTGAGGGTAGAAATGGCACGATTTGCCAACTGATTGGATTTGTGGGGTGCAGGAGAGTGAGAAAGCCAAGATAACGCCTAGGTTACAAGCCTGGGAGACTTGAAGGATGGTTCGGTGCTACCTTGAACAAAAATAGGAAAGTTTGAAAGAGATGGGGCTTGGGTAAGAAAGGTAATGAATTCAGTTTGGGACATGTTGAGTTTAAGATTTTGGGGGACATCCAGTTTGAAATGTCCCACAGGCAGTTATTGACATTTGACTGAGACTTCAAAAGAGAATGGGGATAGATACATAGAGCTTTGAGACATATGCACAGAGATGATAGACCCTTGGGAGCTGATGGGATTGCCAAAAGGGGAAGTACAGATGGAGAGAAAAGAAGGTCTAGGATAGAGGCTTGGGACACACTAATAATTAGGGAGGATGATATTGGTGATGACTCAGCAAAGGAGACTGAGAAGAATCAGTCAGACATAGGAAATCCACAGAGTAGGGTCATGAAAACCCAGAGAAGAGAGAGTATCCAAAAGGAGAAAGTGTTTGCAGTGTTTATTAGTCCCGAAGTAAGAAAAGACTGTCAGATTTGACAATTAAAGAAATCATTGGTAGCTTTAGAGGGCAGATTCGGTTGAATGATGAGGTTGGAAGGCTGACAACATCAATGGAATAAATATACAGCTTCTCCAGGTGTTTACTTAGAAGAACAATGCTCATGTACATGTATAAGTCAGTACATTTATTAAATTCAGAGTTACTAATTTGTGACCACACCAAATATAATTTCTTCTTAAAGTTCAAATGAAGCATTTCATATATACACATTGGTTGCAAAGTCATATGGTGGAAAATTAAGACCTAGTTAAAGGTAAAGTCTCATTTTTCCCTCTTCAAGAACATAAAAATAATTAAAAAAAAAAACTCATAAAAATCAATCTCATAATATTTGCTATGAGGATGGAGACAAAGGTACTTGACAAAAAGAAGAATATTAGTAGATCTAAATTTCAGTGATCTTTGTTATTCTTTGCACTGATTTTTGCATAACTTTAGGTCTTTTTTATATTCTGCTATATATTCTTTTACATAAAAAATGGAAGAATAGTTACCTGTCTACCCAGTCCTAGGTAATTTATCTAAATGTAAATGAAACATATTTTTCAAAGTTTGTTTTAGTTCAGCCAGATGACTTTTTATTAGTTGAAGCCTTAATTTTTTGGATTGAGTCTGTGTTTTGGGTACTAAGCACAGAAATGAGTCTTATTAAAATTGTTGAAAACTTGTTTATAAAACTGAAGGATATCAGAAATGTTGCTTAACAAAACTCTATCCTAAGTCTTGAGATTAAAGCATTTTGAATATGTTTTAAGTATATTTCAAAGTATTACCTTTATCTAGATTTTTTTCTAGAAAGCACTTTCTTGTACCTTGGAAGTATCTCTCAATTGTGAAAGGACTAAATTGTGGAATACTTAGACTGGTAATGGTATTTGAAATGACTCTTTAAAAAATTTCAGATCTGGATGTTAAAGAGAAAATAATCGAAGGAATGCGAGCAACAATGGAAGAACAGGAGCAAACTCAAGTGGAAATGGAGGAAATGCTTGAGGCCAGATCAGAAGAAGTTGTACAGCTGACTTCCGGTAAAAATAGAAAAGAAAAAAGAGTGTGCGTGTGAGTGTGTGTCTCAAATGATTTGGAATATCTCAGATGTACAGCTTTGATTTTCCTGTTTCTTCTTAAATTTCCTTTTCTACTTTTATAAATACCACAGTTATATATGTAGTAAGCACAGAAGATAGTATAAACATGTGTAGATAAAGCTGGAAGACTTAAGGAGTTTGGACGCAGAATCACAAGATTTGGGAGTTGCAAGAGACCTCAGTGGCCCTCTAGTCCAGCCCGTACACCAAAGGAATTCCCACTATGACATACCCTACAAGGGACTGTCCAGCTTCTGCTAGAAAACTTAATACTCCTTGAGGCATTCTGTTACACTTGTGGTGAGCTCTAATTATTAGGAAGTTTTTCCTAACAAGTCTAAACGGTATTTTTGGCAACTTCTACCCATTGCTCCTGGTTCTGCCCTCTGAGGATAGATTAGAGCAAGTCTAATTTCTTTTCCATAGGAATTATGGTCCTCCTGAATATTCTCTTCTCCAGGCCAAACCTGCCCATTTCCTTCAAGTGGTCCTAATATGGTATGTATTCCAGGCCCTTCATCATCCTGTTTCCCTCCTCTGGACACTCTCTACCTTATTAATTTCTTTCTTAAACTGTGATGCCCAGGACATTACTCCAGATGAAGTCTGACAAGGGTGGAGTACAGTGGGATGTATTCTATTCCTTCCTCCTCCTGGATGCTCTGCCCTTCTTGTGCAGTCCAAGATCATGCTAGGTTTTTTGGCCATCACATCACATCGCTGACTCATGTTCTTGAAGTCCTCAAAAACTCTCAAATCTTTTTCAGAACAATTGCCATCTCCTTTATCTTGTGAAGTTGCTCTTTTTGTGCCAAGTTCAAAACTTGACACCCTTATTGAATTTCATCTTACTAGAATCAGTTTCATATTATAGCTTGTCAAGACACAGGGCTGAAAAATCTCAACTGTTGTGGAGGGTAGGGAAAATTGTGCAGTGGCTTACTTGCATCGAGTGTGCACCATTTGTATTTCTGCCATGTCTTGAGCATGGTGTGCTCTTTTTGCAGGGTAATTGAGAACACTGTAGGTTGGTAATTACTGAGTCCCACCTTTCTCCCCACTCATAACCTTACATCTTAATAATACTCCAGATGTTATATTCCTAGAGGTCTTGTCCAGTCTCTCAGCATCATCAGAATTGGTCCGTGTGTGTGTGTGTGTGTGTGTGTGTATGTAAAAATATCTTTACTAAATCATCATAGACAAAATAAAAGTCTCAGTGTTTGCTTTCATGTAATGTTTGGCCAACTCCTCTCCTCAAAAAAAGCCCAATCCAAATCCACCTCCAACAAATGTAACCCATTGTTCTCCTACCTACACCCACCCTCCCCTCCCCCATGAAAACATCCTACAACCAATCTGAAATAAAAATAAATGTAACATGATCAAAAATTTCAAAATCTGTTCCCTCAATGGTTGCTGTGATATCGTTTTGAAGTCACAACTTTTCAACGTGCAAGGCAACTCTGTCAATTCCAGATGAATTGCTGATTGACATGGTAAAAGGAATTTTCACACTGAGAGTTCCCCTATAACAATGAAATCATAAATCTGGACCAAAAACCAAATAGAAGTAAAACCCTGTACCTGTGTGGCATTTTATGTTTTTCAAATTTCTTTCTCATGTCCTATCTTCTCTTGATCCACTTATTTGTCACTAGAGTTGGAAGAATGGAAGGAAAAATGCAAGAATCTGGAGACTAAAATCAGTCAAGAGGCACAAAACCCAAATCAGAGTGATAAGGATAACAGAGATGTACTTAGTGAAGAGCTCAATCAGTTACGAGAAGCATTACAGGTAATATATCTTTATTTTTAATTATATGTAAATACAATAGACTTATTCAGCTTATGACTGAGTTAGTGAACTACCTGCCATCTCCTAAAACCCAGGGGGAGGGAGTATGTAGTGTGTGTGTGTGTGTGTGTGTGTGTGTGTGAGAAATGTACATATTACACACATAAATGCACACAAAGACATATTATATATATATATTTGATTGTGTACTTGGGAAAGCTAAATGGTAGAGATTCTTTCCTAAAACAAAGTTTTGTGCCATGAAAATCAAATTTGCAGCAAGTAAGTCATTGGCTTCTGCGAGCTGAGATTCTCTTCCTTCACTGGATAATGGTGAGCTTCTTCCATTTAGATACAGGCCACACATTCCTTTTATTTCTAACAATTTTTTTAAAAACTTAAAATATCTCTAGGGAAATTGGTTAGGAAAAATGACATCTGTGAGAATTGAATTTCTGTTATATTAATGTCCCTTTTATTTAAAAAAAAATAGAATTGCTGCATCAGGGTCTGAATATACTAGATGACTAATTTCTTTCATGGGATTTACCAAATGTTATGTCAATTCTATGGTTCTCTTAAAAGTAGTTTTATGGGAGATTACAGGGCAACAAAAATTTAGCAAATTTTGCTTAATATTACAATGTGTTTCTTCAAAATTTAGTTTGTTCAATTGCAGATGCCTTTATAAATAAAAGATTAGGCAGTTTCTTTTATACCTTAAACTCATGGGCTGCTCTGTAGCTGTTCAATGTATTCCTTTGCCTAACACAGCACTTTCATTTCATAGGTTCATAGATTTAGAGCTGGGAGAGATCTTTTCTTTTTTCTGGCGAGGTAATTGGGGTTAAGTGACTTGCCCAGGGTCACATAGCTACTGAGTATCGTGTGTCTGAGATTGGATTTGAAATCAGATCCTCTTGACTCCTGGGCCGGCACTCTATGCACTGTGCCACCTAGCTGCCCCTGGGAGAGATCATTAGAGGGAATCTTTTCAGTATTTATAATTCAAAAGGTTTTCTGAATTGAATCCTAAAACTATGACTTTCTAGTGTGAAAATCCAAATGTGTTATAACCAAAGTAACACTTTTAAAATTTTGAAGCTCAATGACATTAACCACATTGAGAATATCCTCATGTGAAAATGAAGCTGTTAGAAATATTGAAATTGTTTTTCTTAGACTAGAATGATACTACAAATCATAGTCATAATTCTGTAAAAGCTTAAGAAAGCTCATCAAATATGCTAATTTACTTCCAAGTTCAGTTGTACCTAAAATGTAGTGGAAAGACCACAGGCCTGCGATCTAGAAGAGAATGGCTCTGGTTCTGACACTGTCACTATGTGACCTTGGGGGAGTTATGTAATAATCTCTTTGGACCCAAGTTTCCTCATCTGTAAATCAAATGACATCTAGGAAAATTGAATTTCTGTTATATTAATGTCACTTTAAAAAAATAGTATTCAGGGCCTGAATACTTTCATGTGATTTACCAAATGTTATATCAATTCTATGGTTCTCCTCTTAAAATGTCACCTTAAAAGTAGTTTTGGACTGCTAGTTGTACTAGATTCCTAAGATCCTTTCCAATATTGATATTCTTCAATTCGATATTATCTTTGGCATGTTTCTCTTAGAATTCTTCTGTACTTAACATTCCTAAATTAAGGAATGCTTGAATGTTTTATGACTGTAATCTCGACTAGAAGAGACTTCCACAAACCAGTCCATTCTGCTCCTTGCAGGAAACCTTCTTAATTTGCAGAATTATAGGCTTTGTTTTGAAAAGATCTTCAGTGAAGGCACTTTTGCAAACATTCTCTGTATAAACTCTTCTAAATAATTTTGCTCTCCTTAATTTTTTTTGTATATAGGAATCAGAAGAGAAACATCAAGGTGACAGAAAAAAATGGTTAGAAGAAAAAACAATGCTTATCACTCAAGCTAAAGAAGCCGAGAACCTTCGCAACAGAGAGATGAAAAAATACGTTGAAGACCGAGCACGTTGTTTACAACTTCATAATGAAGTGGTAGGTGGGAGACTTAGAGAGCCTTTGCTTGCTTGATTTACCCTTTATCACAGCTCCTGTGGCATGAATTAATTTGGAAAAAGTATTTTCTCTGTCCCCTTGCTAGATTCTTGGTTTTCCTCAGGCAAAGAGAAGAGCCCATTTACTCTCCTATGGGGCACAGGGCTCAGACAATCTTTTGAGACTATGGCTAGGAAGGAAGAGGGAGTACAGACTATGGAGGCCTTTGTGTTATGTCCAGGTGGGACACTTCGCATAAAAAAGCAAAAAAACAGAGATTCCCCTACTTGTAGGGGATGTGATGATCAGTTAAAATATTACCAAGTCATAAAATACCTGATATTTGATAGAGAGATCATTTGGGTGTTAGCGAGTAATAAATGTGGCCAGAGATCCGTTAATACTATCAAACACAGCCTTTCATCTGCTTTGATAGCTTTGTGCTATACTTGTGCAGTGACTTTGTTATGAAAATAGAAAAAATAGACAGCAAAAAGTCAATGTTTCCTCAGGATTCTCCTCAGGGGGAGAATTTCCTTTTACACAGAATTCTTCTGTTCCCAAAGCTGTGAGACAATTTAGTCCATTCAGACCTTTATTGGTGGGTGCTAGATACTGAACAGGATACAAAGGTGAGTATAGCCACCTTTAGGGAAGGTAGGTACTAGAGAAGGGTGACACACCACAAAGGTGCATATAATACAAAACAGAATGTGAGAACTGCCTGAGAGAGGCTTGAAAAGAAAGTGCTGTTTTTCACTTTGCCGTGAGCTTCTAAGAATTGCTCAGAGTTCAGAACTCTCCCCATTGCCATGGTTGCCCTTGTAGGATATACAACTGGATTTGAATGGGGCTCCAGTGTGATAGCCAAATGGCTTTACTGTCTCTACAGTGGTAAGAGAAAGTAAAATTTGTGCAGATAGGGTACTATGACCACTCTTACTTGAGAAAAATGCACCCATAAATACTCTTTCATTATGGTAAAAACTTTAGTGAGTAGAAAAGGATGGAAAAGTATAGTCTACTACCCTTAAGGGGAAAAAAATTGTCTACTGTACTTTTTCCTTTTACAGTTTTAAATTTAAATTTTCCTCCTTTTTCATATCCTTTGCTTTGTTAAGTTTCTCCCATTGATTCTTGTTTTCACTTTCCTTGTGACATATATTGTCTATTTGCAGGTGACCTTTTTTGTCAGACTTAAAATGAAGCTCTTTGTACCTGCCCTAATCTTTTTAGTTGCAGAAGAATTTAGATAACTGACTAGCTGTCCATAAAACCTTGCTGTTTGGTTTAAGTTTCTTAATGGTTTTTTTGTATTCTTTAAGTAACATTTCCCCCTAAGTGAACCAAGACTTAAGGTGTGAAGTGTTTCTGATCTTACTTTTTGAATTGATTATACTTTATGATACCATTTATCCTAACATGGAAGAAGGAATATGAGGTGTCACAACTACTTTAATACTTGGAGCAGCTTTTATTCAGGTTATTTCTGAGTCACTTTGCTTTTAAATTGTTTCTATTTTAATCAGCATCACATTTTTTAAACAACTCACAGTCTTTTTTTATTAATTTTTTTGGGTTACATTTTAAGTTCTGAATTGTCTCCCTCTACCAATACAGGTCTACCTTTTATGTAATCTTAGAGACTTGCTTGCTATATTTGGAGATTAAATGGCTTGCCATGGGTTATGTAGGTAGTAAAGGTGGAATTTGATTTCATAATGTCTTCACTCCAAGGCTGACTCACCATCCCCACATGTTTCATTACAACAGTTTATTTAGCATCACCCACTCCTACCTACCCCTTAGTGTTTCATTTCCACAGAAAGTACTGCTATAAATATTTCATTTTCTTAGAAAATGTGAATAATACAAAATTGTTTAAATGAACTTCATGACAGGGAAAATAGTATTTATTTAGGTTCCTAGCAGTTTTGAACCCAACTTTGATAAAGACAGACCATACAAATTTCAGATCTAAGTAAGGGGGGGTTCAAAATAAGGGGATTAAGATTTCAAACTGTTAAAAAAATAGTAATTGGCAAAATTCTTTGATACTGTTTTACAAAAAGAAAAGTAGATTAGTGGAGCACACTAGGTAAGCATGACTCAGGAACAGTCAAACAATAGCCTACAGGTTGACAGACTAAAGAACATAAACTATTGCGAAAGGGGTTACTACTTCTTATTTAATAAGAACTGCTGGGAAAACTGGAATATAGTTTGGCATTAATTAGGTTAAGACCAGCAGCTTGTACCACAATATGTTCTGAATGACTATTCAACCTAACAGGTCACAAAATAAAACCATTAAAGGTGAATAGAAGAAGGCACCTTTCAATACAATTAGGGGGAAAATTCTTAACCAAAAAATTAATAGGAAAGATTAAAAATAGGCAAAATAGATTATTTTGAATACAAAAAGTTAAAAAACTTTTTCATGAACAACATTAATCCACCTATAATAAGAGAAAGGGCTGAGAGCAGGGAAAATCTTCGCATTGGTTATCCTTGATAAAAGTCTAAGATTAACACTCAAACATATACACATATGTACATTTACTGTACACACATACATATTATAAATAAAACCAAGGACCATAGATAAGCAATAAAAAAGAACAATTTTCAAAGAAATTGCAAACTCCTAACTACTATATAAAATAAACATTCCAGATAATTTAAGAGAAATGAAAATTTAAAAATTAATGTGAGCTTTCAAACTTCACATCCATCAAATTGTCAAAGAAGATAAAAGTTGGAAAGTAGTTATTATTGAAGAGTCTATGGGGACACTAACACATTGTCATTGCAACCAGGAGAACCATATATACAGTGACTTTGTTGCTATTCAGTTGTTTCAGTTGTGTCTGACTCTTCATGACCCCATTTGGAGTTTTCTTTGCAAAGATACTGAAATGGTTTGCTATTTCCTTCTTCATCTCCTTTTACAGATGAGGAACTGAGGCAAACAAGGTTAAGCGACTTGCCCAGGGTCTCTCATTGGTTAGTTGTCGTGCTTTGTTCTGGAAGAGGACCAAAATGACATCATTATGTGACTTGCCCAGGGACATTCACACAGATAGTGTCTGAGGCCAGATTTGAACTCAGGAAGATGAGAATTCCTGACTCCAGGCCAGGCACTCTATCCACTGTACCATTTAGCTGTTCATATATACAGTGAGTACATTAATATAAATGAAAAGGATATGGAAATCAAGGCCAACACTACGTAATTACTTGAAAAAGAACCCTCCCTCCTTCTTCTCATTAGAAAGGTAGGTGTCTACACATATAGAATGCTTTATCCACCTTTTTACTCAGAAGAGGGAAGCATATTTTATTACTAATTACCCAGTGCTGGTCTCAGTTTCCACATTCTTTTCAGTTACTGTGCATTACGTGATAATCCATTTTTGCTCTCTTAGGGGGTGAGTAGCTGTTGGCAATGCTGTCAGGCAGGATACTGTCTATCCAATGGCCCTTCTTTTCCAACATGGTTTTTACCAACACCTTCCCCTCCTCCCTCCACCCCTTCCCTCTTTCACTGATTGCCTGAAGTTGTAGGATTGATTTGATTGTCTGACTGTGCTTCTTTTGAGTTCTTGCTTCTTCTCCACCCAGCACCCAAACCCAAATGCCATTATTTGAGAGTAGAAGACTTCCTCCCTCTAATTAAGGAATTTGTACCCAAGAAGTTTACAATATAGTTGGAGAATTTTATTCTTTACATTTTTTTTACCTTAATATAGAATAAGGTTATAAATCATAGAAATTTAAAGCTGGAATAGACTTCAGAGATTATGTAGTTTAACTCCCTCATTTTATAGATAAAGAAATTTGATGCCCTAAGAGATGAATAAATTCATTGTCAGTTATTCATTCAATAAACATTAAGCTCCTATCTGATCATTAATGATTTGTTTTTTAACCTCTATACAACATTTGGCATTATTGACTACAGGGCTGAAAACAAAACCAGAAGGAATTACATACATTCAGTCTGTGTAACTCCATGGATGGTGTTCAAGATTCCTGTTCTTTTTAAAATAATAAGTAACTTTTCCATAGCACTTTAGGTTTATGAAGTAGTGCCCAGTTACACAACACTTCGATTTGGTAGATGGAACCAGGTATTAATAATTCAAGGACATCCAAACCCAAAGTGATGGATGAGGAAGTGTCAGGATAATTTGGTCATGGCCCCACCCTTTGTTCCTATCCTTTCCCCAAAACCATACTTCATTTTTTCATTTTGATGATATTGGAATTTCTTCACAGTGAGCTATGGAATTCTAATTTCATGCAGTTTTGTCAGAAAGTCAGAAGAACAGTTTTGGCTATGTTCAGTTTTTAGAACGCATTTGGAAAAATGGGGCATTATTTTGTCTAAAACTGTAAAACATTGCCAAAAATAGTAATTTAGTACATTATCTTGATGCTTTCACAATGACAGTGTGCATAGACTTGACCACTTATTTTATGGATCTTTTAGTCATAAAGATGGAGTTGTTCATCATAAGCATTCAACAGAAATCCCTTAATAAAATTTCTTCAGGTTCTGGTTATTCCATGGCTTTTTCTTTTCATGATTTTCCATTTCTTTTTTTTCTTTCTTTCTTTCTTTCTCTTTCTTTCTTTCCCTTTCTTTCTTTTCTCTCTCTCTCTCTTTCTTTCTTCCTTTCTTGTCAATTGTTTGTTTAGGAAAGACTTACTGCACAGCTAGCAAATAAAGATGATGACCTACAGAAATGGCGAGAAGAAAGAGATAAACTGGTTTGGGCATTAGAAGTACAGCTCAAAACACTGATCTCCAGTAACATGCAGAAAGATAAAGAAATTGAACAACTGAAAAGGACAGCGTCAGAGGATCCTGGAAAGGTTAGTGAAAGACTGTTTTCTTTACCTTTTGATTTACTTTGGAACACAGGATTTTTGGTTAACTTTTAAAGTTTTAAACTTTTAAGAAGTTGCGGTTCAGAGTAATATAAAGAGTTTGAAATGTTAGGTTCATATAGGAGAAAGAGCCTTGGAATGGGAATCAGATCATCCTAGTTTTGATTTCATCATAATTACTACACTGCCTATTCACAGGGTCCTTGTGATTGTCAAATAAGATGTAAATGCATGTAAAAAATTTTGTAATCTTAAAGTGCTATATAAATGTGATCTATTATTGTCTGTAAAAATTCATAATTTGCGTTTCTTTATTCTGTAAATGTTGTATTTCAGTTTCTGCAATTCTCCCTTGTTTCTTGAGATTTTCTGCATATTCTTTGATTTTCCTAAGCTGTTTCTTGGGTTATTGTATTTTCCAATGGTGTGGCTTATTCAGTCATTTTAAAAGTTTTTTTTTTCATATGTTTTATTATTTGTAAAAATTAAATTTTATTTTTTCAATTGTTAAGCATTTTATGTTTTTCTCTCTTTCCTCCCTGCTGCATTGTTCAGTTCTTAATCTTTTAAAAATTGTTCATTTTTTGCAGTGTGGATATTATATAATATAAATTGCTCTGCTTCTGTTCACTTTGCATCAGTTCTTATACATCTTCCCAGGTTTCTCTAAAATCATCTCTAGTTGTTTTTTTTAACAGTCATATTTCTTGCTGCTCCACAATGTATACGATTTTATTTTCTATTATATATCTATTATATTTCACTTTTTAAAAGGTTTAAGGAAAGAGATAGCCAGAATAGGCAGTGATTTCTAAGAGCTTGGCAGTGAAAGAGAAGGAGAGATAGACTAACTCAAAGGGATGAAAGGATCAAGTGAAAGTTAAAAATTCTTTTTATTGTTAAGCTTTGTTTTGATCCAACAGGCATGACGCCATAGACACACCAACCCTTAAAAAATGCTTTCCTCAAAATTGCTAAGTAAAGCTGCCTAATAGAGCAATTATAATTGGTAGTACTATCTTTTCCCACTCTTCTAACTTAGCTGTTAAGAGCATCCCTTCTCAGCCATCCTTGATGATGTCATAAGTTAACAGTCATCACAAGATTCCCATTTAGTTGTGTGGAAAGGCAGATGGAAAAAGAAGAGCCCACCCACCCCTCAGTTCTAATTAGTAGAGTTGGTGGTGGCAGAAAAGACTTTTCTCATACATATTGAGGTTCCTTCCTATTACAAATTATATTTGATTATGAGCAGGGTGTATGGGGTGTTCAGGGAGGACTAGCACCTCTGGTGTGAGGGCTTGCTCAGCCCTTTTTCTGGGCTGCTCATCCACCTTTAGTGTTCATTTGCCGCCCAACTCTCACCTGTGGTTCCAAGAAGCTATAGCATTTGCAGCAGCCACACCCTAGTAAAACTGTCTTGGCAGATGGACTAAGCCAGGCTGACAGTAGCTAACAGGCCTCAAACCCACCAGTGAGTTAGGAGGATGTCTGCCCCAAGCATGTAAAGACTTCTCTGGTGGAATGGGTGAATGAGAACAGTTTGTTCCAATGGTCATGAAGGCAGCTAAAGCAGGCACTGTAGAGCACTTAGAGCCTGGTCAGATATGGAAGATACTAATGTCATTTACTGCATCCCAGGCCATCAACAGTTGTCTTGACTTTTGTTCTGCCACTGGACTTTGGTGACTCTGGAAGAGTGAGGCTGATGATTCTGTGCAATTCTGCCTCACTTAAATCCAATTCGCTCCCAAGTTAAGATCACCCATTATATTAGGATGTCATCAATCCTCTTCAAAAACGAAGGACAAACAACAACCACCGGAATTGGGTGTTGATCATCCACTTTGACAATTTTTACCAGCTGCTGTAGGGCCCAATATTTCTGATCCAAGGGGATAGTGGACCTCCTTGCTGTCTATTATCATCAGGTAGCTGTCATCCATCCATCTCAAGTCAATCCATATCCTTCAGAAGGGCATTACCAACCACCAGGCCTCTTCTTTTGACCCTTACTGGATAATCTCTTACCTGATAGCTCCTATGGATCTCCTTTATCATTCCCCAGAAGATCAATATCTGCTGCTTCCTCAACTCCTCTCTCTCATTTTCACAAAAAAGTTTCACATTTGTTCCTTATCTCCAAGTGTTGAGTGGTCTTTCTTCCCTTCCTCCTTTGTTGGACATTTTTCAGCCTCCAGCTTCCTGATGATGCCTTTTCAGATTCTTTTGATTCTTGGCTTTATCACTTGATCCCTTCTAGCTTTTAAAGGAACACTTCATTGCGCCTGATAATCTGCAGTGTGGAGAGATATTCAATTACTATTACCTTTTCTTTTAGTCAGTTGAATAAGTTAAGATATGATTTACTGTATAATATAATTTGATGTTGATTTTAAATATGTTCTAAGTTAATAGACTGATTAATGAGTCCTCTTCAGGCATCAAAGGTGTAATCAAGATCCATTTTTGACAAGTACTAAGCAACATCACAGAAAATGAAATTGATTACACATAAATGCAGGGGTTCTTAACCTTTTTGTGTGTCACAGACCCCTTTGCCAGACTGGTGAAGCCTGTGGTTCTCTTTTGGAAATCATGTTAGTTGCCTGCATTAATAATTTGAAAGAAAAGCAAAATTTCAGTCAGAAGTTAGTAAAAAGAAAAATATAACATTTTTCTCATCTAAGTTCATAGACACTCCCCGTGCTCCCTGCCAAATCTAACCAAAGATCATGGACCCTATGTTAATAACTCCTGCCATAATGTAAAGGAAATAAATGGTAATAAATTTAAATATGTTATCTGAATGTGTTTGGACTATTGACCTGTTAGATATAATTAGAAGTAAGGATAAAGATGTATGCAATTAAAACAACTTCTCTCTGATGCAACAGTTAATGAAATTTTTTTGTCTCTGGATAGGTTATTTGAGTTCTCTAGGGAAATATCGTTCTGTTTTTATTTTGAAATACCTTTTGGGGCCATAAAGTTATTTTTAAAATATAAAAATCAAGGAAATAGCTATATAAGGCTTTCTACAATTTTAAAACATTTTGATGTATAAAGATTATCTCAACACAGTTTAGCTTTCAATTATTTTATCTGTGAAATCATGTTTTAAATATAGGATTATAAGCATACAATAAATGAATTGAAGACACTGTTAGCTGAGAAAGAAGACATCATTAAAAAGTTTAAAGGATTGAATTGTGAGAATTCTAATGCTTTGCAAGCAACAGCTTTGACCACATCTGATGTAGAGGTGAACATAGGGAAACAATTGTCTCCTAACATACAGGTAAGTTGGAGTTGAAGTTTAAAAAAACCAGTTTTTTAAACAGATGTTTATTGAAGTATAATTGAATGATGACCACAAAAAAAAAAAAACTTACAAAAAACAAAACCAGTGTTAGGATATAATTTAATATAAATTTTGATGGCTGTAATTTTAAAAGTTGTATTTTTTTTTCAATACAGCCTGAGTGTGACTATAAAGTAATGAGATTGTTTTGTAGCAAGCAGTTTTTTGCTATAGCCTTGTACTTTTCTTCCTGTCAAGTAACTGAATTTTGATTTTTATAGAATAGGTATGCAACAATTCAGAAATGGAGTTTAAAATCTATGGTTTTTTCCTAATCCCTTGTGACATTGGCACCTAACATGTTATTGAGAATAACAGCAATAATAAAAATTTTGATTATACAGTCATATCATGTTTTCATGATAGGACAGCTAGGTGGCACAGTGGATAAGAGTGCTGGGCTTGGAGTCAGGAAAACTCCTCTTCCTGAATTCAAATCTGGCCTCAGACACTTACTAGCTGTATGACCCTTCGTAAGTCACTTAACCCTGTTTGCCTCAGTTTCCTCATCTGTAAAAGGAACTGGAGAAGGAAATGCCACACAACTCCAGTATCTGCCAAGAAAACCCCAAATGGGATCATGTAGAGTCAGGCATGACTGAAAACAACCAAGCAACGATAGGGGCAGCTAGGTGGTGAAGTGAATAGAGCACGAGCCCTGGAGTCAGGAGGACCTGAGTTCAAATCCAGCCTCAGACCAGGCACTTAACTCTTACTAGCTATGTGACCCTAGGCAAGTCACTTAATCCCAACTGTCTCGCCAAAAAAAAAAACCAAAACCCCAAAACAAACCAAAAAACCCAGTAACAATCATGTTTTCATAGATCCAATATTATCCTCACACATTTATAGTTTTTTAAGGGTTATTAACTATGTTTTGAGTGGAGCAAGTAATCCTGAGACCTCTTTTTTTGAGGAAATAAAAAAAATAATTCAGGGAATAATCTTTCCTAACTGCGGGGGGAGGCGGGAAGGGGAAGGGGGGTGCCCCCATCTTAGTACTTACTTCACACAAGGCCTAATTTCAGTTGTGACTTCAATTCAGTAAGCATTCATTAAGCACCTACTATGAGCCAGGCATATATGTGCTCAAAACTGGGGATGTAAATAAGAAAAAGATGGCCCTGGCCCTCAAGGGGCTTACAATCTAATAGGGGAAGACAACCTACAAAAAGAGGTAAAAAGGGGTGGTAGTGCTCCATGGTGTTCCATGGACTTGAGAGCTGCTTATGGAAGATGGAGTTACCTAGCAGGTCGTGAGCCCTGCATAAATGCTTTTGGAAGAATTTATTGCTCCTCCCTCAAGCCCCCCAGCCAGAAGGGTAAGCAACTAGGATGAGCTGAGAATGTGTAGAGCATCAAAATCTGAGTCAGTCTGCATGATGATTAGCTTTTAGATTTTTCTGCTACCCTTGAGAGAAAGATCCTTTTATATTTCTGTGAATACAGCAAGATGATTTCATAAAATTCTCATTTGCCATAAACTGGGGAGTTAATAGCACATGACTTTGAAGCTTTAGCTTCACAATACATAATATGTTTAGCTGAATAAACATTTCACCCCCTAACTTTTTAAAAGTTAAAGTGCACGCGCGCGTGTGTGTGTGTGTGTGTGTGTGTGTGTGTTAGGTATACTCTGAAAAGTAATTATGCAAAGTGACTCCCAAGAGTTACAGTTTTTTCATTATGTGGGTGTTCTGTTCATTGGTATAGATGTTAAGGATGTCAGTTGAGGGACAGAGGGTTTCTATGGACAGAGTGAAACTCATGGTGCATAGAAGCAGATCCTGTAGGAAAGAAATGAATTAGGAGATGATTACTATCATCCACACATGAGCTAATAAGGCCCTCGACTTGTACAGCATGAAGTGAAATAGAGTGGGAAAAGAAGAATGTGAGACACCATAAAAGTAGAATTTACAGGACTTAATTTACAGAATTTACAGATGACACTGAAGTTTGAGCCTTGAGGACTTGGAGAATGGTAGCTATGAGACTAAGCAAGTCATTTTAGAGTTGGAGGAAGATGAATGCTTCATCTGCATACTTTAATCCTGTTTACAATTTATACCAACCAGTTTGGGGTCTATATTCCTTATCAGGACTATTTTAAAATATTTTTCAAAGTTTTATAACTCATGTTAATCTTCTGTTTTAAGGAAAAGGACAAACAAAATCCAGATAGCAGCAAGTCTGGAAATACTCTTCCCAATAGCTGCAAGTCTGGAAATGTTCTTCCCCCCAATTCTGAGACAGTCAAGAGGGAGATGTCATCTGTGCCCCGCCCAAGTGATGAGCTCTCTGTGGCTGAAATAGAGGTGGGTCCATTGTTGTAGAACTAATGAATTTGATGATATTATTATCAATGGCACAGGCTTACAAAAATTGTACTTTAAAACTTGATTTGACCAATGCCTAGTTTATTTTCTATTGAGAGAATATTTAACCATTTGATAAAATATTAAACTATTCTCATAGATAGGGCAAAACTTATCCTTAACTTGCCCCAAAAGCTTGAGCATATATCCATATAAGCAAACCTGATAGATGGAAATGTAAATTTGCACAACATTTTAATTTTGAGGTGATTATTTACAGTATCCTTAATATTACAAATCAACTTCCTACAGGGTTCCTTAAATCAGGAGCTCCAGTAGCCACTGGAAATCTGAACTATTTACAAAAAAAAATTAACAGAATTTTCCTTAACACAATTATTATATGAACTAAAGTATACCTGTTACTTTTTTGGGGGGAGGAGGAGGTAAATTAAGTACAGTCTACAGACTCTTCTCTGTTCCTCCCTCTATTCGTTCTTCTACCTTTTGGATAAGGTTGAATGTCAAACATTGAGAGCTGAAATTGGAGAGTAGTAGTTTACAACATAATAGTCATTGGTTTACTGTAGGGCAGCAGTGATTTTAGAAATTTCACAGTGGAGATTCACCCCAGCTTACTGTCTTTATATCATTTTTAGGGAAAAGGTAAGTCATATTTAATTCTTTTTTTAAGTTTTTTAAAATTCTGAACTTGACACCAAAAAGCCATTTCTATATACAACACAGATCACACAAAGAGGATGGTATATAAAACTGAAACTCCATTCTATAGCACTTTTTAAAAAAGTATATAATAGGCTTAGATTCTTATAATCTAGCCACTGCTCATTCATGTTCAGGCTCCTTAAGAGTCTGCCCAATACACTTACTAGCTGTGTGACCCTGGTCAAGTCACTTAACCCCATTGCCTAACCAAGAACAAAACAAAAAAAGAAGTATATAATAGACAGCTCACCACCTTCAAAACTGTCCTGCTTGTCTGTGCTTCCCTCTGAATCACCCTATGTACTCTGCACTTTTAAAAATGCTTCAAAGGACTTCCTCTTTTTTCTTCTTTTTCTTTCACTAGTCATTATCCCTCTCCTTCAACCCTTCCCCCAACCTGAAACAAAATTGAAAAAACAACCATTAAACTTGTAACAAATAAGCATTCTCAAACAAAACAAATCCATATGGTGGCCACATCCAAGAATGTATATCTCCTTCCATACCTTGAGTCCATCATCTCTCCATCAGGATGTGGGTCATGTTCTTTGTTATAGGTCCTCTGGAAACTCATCATTCAAAGTTGTTTTTCTTTACAGTGTTGCTGACATTGTATTAACTTTGAACCACTTCCTGCTTCCAATAATTCATTGAAATAATTTGTTTCATCATATCTTATGATGCAGTAATATTCCTGTACGTTCACATACTGCAATTCAGTTATTTCTCAATTGATAGAAACCCTCGTCGCTTCCAGCTCTTTGCTTTTTTTCCTTTTCCTTTTAATTTTTTTTCTTCAGGATCAGGAAGGGTTTTTTGTTTGTTTGTGACTATTCCTTCCCCAGTATCATCCTTTCTTTTTACCATTCCTCTCCCCATCTCCTCCTATTTCTCTCTTCAGTTTGATCTGTTTCTACTGTGATGCATGAAAGATGAAACAACTGAGGAAACAAAGGTTCGAGCATCCAAGCATATCGATTTATTAATAAGCAAAGTATGCAATTGCACAACCAATCGGAAACAGACCTCCTCAACTTTACACTACAGGGGGAGACAGATTTTTATGCATTAAAAACAATTAATCAAATATGCTCCTGCCTCTGGTCCCTTGGCTCTTGAATTCTTTCTTTCTGGTTGCTTGTGGTGTTTTTTTGGGACTTGGGAGCTCTGGATTTTGGCTTTGTCTTTGCTGGGGCTTTCTTTTTGGCATTTCTTTCACCAAGTGGTTTGCTCTTTGATTCCAATACATATGGGAAGTTCTCTTTTATGATTTCTTGAAACATAGTGTATAGACTTTTTTTTTAAATCACAGTTTTCACAGAGTTCAGTGATTCTTAAATTATCTCTCCTTGACCTGCTTTCCACATTGCTTGTTTTTGTAGCAGGCTATTTTCTGGGTTTTTTTTGCTTCATTTCTTCTTGGTATTCACATAGTTCATGTGGGAATTTATTTTTTTCCTTTGAGTTTCTCCTTGCTGTTGTTGCAGTTACTGTCTCCTTCCAATCTGGACTTTTGGACATCTCCAGATCTATTGTAATTCTTTGTAGTAGTTTGTTTCTTCATCTCACCAGCCTTAGCTCCTGCACTGGGGCTTTGTACCAAGGCCCACCTTCTCCACTTGTACTTTTGGGTGGGATGCAGAGTCCTTGATCTCAACCTGGATCACCTAAGTTCCTAAACTGACCTCCCCTTACTGGGGTTAGAGCCCTTTGGATCTTTGAGTTTAGGGTGCTGGATCTTCGGGGATTTTTTTCTGTGTTTCAGGATTGAGTGCTAAAGACCCAGGCCGATGGTTGCTACCTCTTCTGGTTCCTTCACTGTGGGCTCACCACAATCCTGAGGATTTCTTGGAGCAGGTTTCTGCTGTTGATACCATTGGAGAGAGAGTGTCTCTGACCTATTTGTAGTAGGGCTATAAGGCTGCCATTTGGTTTACCTGAGAATGGGTGCTGCATTTTCCAACAACCTAGTTTTCTATTGCTTTGGAAGACTGACCTTTTTGTGCAGTTGTCTGGTAATGGAAGTTGCCTACTATAATTTCACTTAATTTCTTGAGCATTACTGGTGTGACTTTAAAGGTAGTTTTCTGGTTGAGTTGAGCTACTTGCATTTTTTAGATGGCCCTCTTGGCTAGCAAAAGTCACATTTAATTCTGCTTGGAATGATCCTATTTTCCACCTAATTTTTTGTAGTTCTATTTGAACCTTTTGTACTATTTCTTGATATGACCCACTTCTCCATCTAAATAGAACTTTTCCTTTTGACAGAGAAAAACAAGTAAAACCAACCACCTTGATAACCAAATCTTCCAGTACATGCAACCTTCTGTTCCTATTGCTCTCCAGCTCTGTAAAGAGTGGAAGGACTTGTTATCTGTCCTCTACTAACCATCTGTTTTTGGAGACTCACTGCGGGCACGAAGGAACAATAACTTGGGGAAATGTTTAAAGCCTGGAGCTTTCTGCATTTGACCATTCTGCTCATTAGAATTTTATGTTGTAATTGTACATGGTTGGTCACATTTAATATTTTCAGAAATGATTGGCTATAGAGCTGCAGGCGAGCAGAAATATTAGATGATGTGATGAGGGCAAAGGAAGGACTGTTCCCTTTTCTTCTTTCCACACTACTCTTCTACTCACTACTAATTTTGACCTGTGGGCTCCAAGTGCTCCCAGCTCCAAGAGAATTATTTGGATGTGACCACTTGGTGCCCTTCTCCTTTCATTAGATGAGTTAGGATTACTTTTGAGGTCCATAGGAAATAATTGGAAAGGGAAACTGATTAGATTCCTTTATCCATATTACTTTCCATATTTAATTATAGTTGCTTTCTAAATCAGTAATTTTATGATACACTAAAGACTATATCCATGGAGGAAAGAAAAAAGCCCTATCTACAGAACTTAACCTATACTAACGAGGTTTATTGGAAGATAGTATTTACAGTCAGTAGAGGCCTTGGGAGAGCTAGAAAGGGGGAGAAACATTTGCCAGCTCTGTGTCTTAGGCTGCATCCATTAGTGATTAGGGAAAGGGCTGGAAACTCATCAAATATCTAGTTAGGGGGAGGTTGCAGCACTATAGATTGAGTGGCAGCCCCAAAAGTTGTTTTCTGCCAGCTGCCTGAGTGGTGCAGAGGCCTGTGGTGTCAGATCACTTAGTTGGGGGAGGAAGGAATGGCAATTACCAAGAATCTTGGGAGGGCTGTAGCATCTAGCATGACTCACAAGATTTCCTTTATTAAACAGAAAAAAAGGTCCCGTCTCTGAGACACTTCAGTAGTGTTTCAATTGTCTTCTTCCCAAGGATTTGAGGGCAGTGGTTGTCTAGATGGAATGAACAGCTAGGATAGAAGGGCTCTACTTAGGAGGTAAAATTCTGTTATCTGTAGGAACTAGGGTACTAACAAACACTACTTCATTTGGGCTGAGATCAGCATTAACATGATTTTAAAAACAGGGATAGATCTTCCCAAGGGAAAAAGGCAAATTTGAGAAGGGCAGTAGATTGCACAGGTAAGCAGACTAAAACCCTCAGTAGGAATTGACTCTAAACAGTTATTATCTCTAAATAATTTTACCACTGCTGGATCCTTGAGGCATGTTCTTTTGGGTAATGGATGATAAAGCCTTCACTTTAAGCAGTTAGATGGTTTCCTTAGAATTCTACCCTTTGGGAATGCTGACCCAGATAGAGATGGAGGGAAAAGCTCCAACAGGATTCTAATATGAGAGAAAAAAGGCCTCAATTTATTAATAATGCTATGTTTAGATATTTGGTGAGTGATATCACTGTGTTTATATGTTTTCTAGCAAGTGATATCAATTTGTTTGCATTCACAGCATGAGGATGGCACTTTCAGTTACAAAAATCTTAAATGGAAAACATGTATTTATATTCATTATTAGAAGAGCCATACAAACCAGACATGGAAAGCATTGTCTGAGTTGTAATTTTCTCAACACTAATACATAACCTCATAATAAAATTAAATACATTTTTAAAGACTAAGTTTAATATTTAAAATCATATTTACAAAAAAAATGGCAAATGATTATAAACAAAAACATTCTTGTTTTTAGAAAGACACTAAAAGGTAGGAGTCAGGGTGATGGATTTGTATGTTAATATTTTAGACTCCTCTACCTATGGACTATCCAAAGTAAAGTTCATTGAGCAAGCATTTATTAAGTGCCTACTATGTACAAGGCACTGTGCTAAGCACCAGACATAAAAACTAAAAATGAAAAGTGGTCCCTGTATTCAGGAGTTTGGAATCCACACCAGGGCTATCATCTATCCCTTCTAGTTTCTAGCAGAATAGAAAATGGTAATGTAGTAGAAGGTTTTCTCTTAATGACTAAACAAAGGTTTCTTTTTAAAAAACATTAGGTAGACAAGATCAATCACTCAGTCAACCAGCATTTATTTAAATGTGTACCATGTGTCCGACACTGGGCTAGTGTGCTGCAGATCACAAACAAACCAGTCTCTACTCTCAAGGACTTTATATTCTGTTGGGAAACAGCATATGTGTATAGCATGTCAATATATACAAAAAAAATATGAAGTTGTTAAGGAAATCTAAACCAATCTCATTACTGATATCTGTATGAACAAATGGGATTTGAATTGCACATAGTCATATTTAGGTAAGGGAAACTCTTAATTTGGGTTCTCTTCTTACTTCTGGTGACAGAATAAGTAGGCAACACAATGAAGAATTAGTTTTGCCCTGAATCAGCATATCTACTGCATGGTTTTCTTTTTCTTTTTTATTCTTTTTAGTGGTGGGTGGGAGGTGCCTTTCTGCTCATGGAAAATAACCCATCTTTTACTCTAACCATTCTCCTATCAGTATTTTGAAGGAATACTAACTAGTTCATGGAGGAAGGACATAGACACTATCATCGGGTGTCAGTCATGTTATTAGCAAAATTTCCGCCTTCCCCTTCCTCTACTATCTTTCTCTACTCTGCCAAACAACCATGATTGCTCTACTCAACTCAGATAGTAGAAACCCTGTCCAAACCCCCATGTTCAGATTCTTGAGTCTTTACTTTTTTTTTTTATCCTTCCTCTCATTTCTAGTTAGTTATTACATTCTCTGTATTTTACCTTTGTATTATTTGTCTTGTCTGCCTCCCTTTCTCAGTTTCCACTGCCTCCTTCCTGGTATGAGCCGCTCCCTTCACCAGCCAAACTCTTTAACTTCCTAAAAGGACTTTGCCTCCAGCAATCTGGACAAAGGAATCTATCTCTAACCAGACCACTCTCCTTGGTTTTCTCCTTCATGAGCTGGGTCGCCCTGAACTCTACTGGAGGGGTGCAGGGGCCTAAGCTTAATGCTTTAGGGCTGAGATTTACCTAGATTAGATTCTGTTTATACTCTAAACAGAAGTTAGGTCTTTCAGATTTAGGCAATCTCATCTATCAGCAGCGCCTTTCAGAGACTGACCCAACTGACTTACTGGGGCTGTAAAGCTTTAATCCTAATTTAATAAATGATTATTAATATAATAGGACAAATAGGAAATTGACAGAGGGAAGGCACTAGAATTAAGAGGGATAAGGGAAGGCTTCAAGTAAAAAGTGGGATTTTAGTTGGGACTTAACAGAAGCCAGGGAAGTCAGTAGGCAAGATTGAAAAGGGAGAGCATTCATTCTGGGCATGGAGCATGGCCAGGGAAAATGCCCAGAACCAAGAGATGGAGTGTCTTGTTTGTGGGACTGCCAGGAGGCCAGTGTCACTATATCGAAGAATACGTATTGGGGAGTAAGGTGTAAGAAGATTGGAAAGGTAGGAGGGACCTAGGTGGTGAAGGGCTTCGAATGCCAAACAGCACTTTGTATTTTCTCCTGGAGGCAATAGGGAGCCACTGGAATTTGAGCAGGGGTGTGCCACAATCAGACCTGTGCTTTAGGAAAATCACCATAGTGGCTGAATGGAAGATGGATTGGAGTGGGAAGAGATCTGAGGTAGGCAGACACACTAGCAGCTATTACACGTAGCTCAGATGTGAGGTGACGAAGGCCTGCACTAGAAGGGTAGCAGTGTCGGGGAGAAGGGATGTGTTTTAGAGAGGCTGTCGAGGTGAAATCGATTGGTCTTCAATAACACTTTGTTTCTACCTCCCTTATTACTTATTATACATATTGTATATTACAATTACTTGTGGATATGCCCTTCTTGCTGCACTACAAGTCATACAGGAACCACTAATCTTTGTATCTCTTCCAACGCTTAGAATAGTGCTCTGTTCACAGTGATTTATTTTTTATTATTATTTTTTACAACTCTTTTTATTTTATTCACAGTGCTTTATTTATATTTGTTTAATTGAATTGAGGGCTTCCATGGCAGTACGCTTTTAACATTTAAGTTTAGCTTTGTCCAGATAGTTCGTAGCTTGATAATCACAATAAGGAGAAGCCACTGTGATCCAGTATGATTTAGTTATGAATCCATCACTTTGTAAAATTGTCTTTTTCTTTCTGTCTTTCCATTTCAACTCTAGGATGGTTCAGTTGTAGTCCTTGACTCTTCTGAAGTATCTACAGAAAATGAACACATGACTCGGTTTCCAAAATCAGAATTAGAGATCCAGTTTACACCTCTGCAGCCTAACAAGATGTCAGTGAAACATCCTGGTAGTTCCATACCAGTGACGGTTAAGATATCCAAGCCAAGGAAGAGGAAAAGTAGTGAGATGGAAGAGGTAAATCCTTCCCTGACAAGTCAGTTTCCAAAAACATTTATTTATCGTGTTTTACCTTCTTCAGAATTCTCTAGAACTTGCTGATTTTTATCTGTATTTAAAATCTCTAGAATCACATTTTAAATGTGAATTTCAGAAAATCCTTGATTTAAAAGTTTCACTTATGATGGACCTCATATTTTGAGAGGCTGCTGGCAGCCACCCTGAATCCAGGTATCAGAATTGTACAAATAACTCACCTGACACAAGTAAGAGGTATAAAGAATACAGTTGTCAGACACAGAGTAAGAATACATGTTGAAAGCCCTGGTGCTTATGTTGGTTCTGATTAGCACACGTCCTCCCCTTTGTCTTCCTGCTCCTCACAAAGAGTCCTGCCTAGACCCGGGGGCCCTCAAGGATATTATTCCTCCCCTCCTTCTCATTACCAGGCCCCATGGAGCAGAAGTTTTTACGTCTCCATGTTATTTCTAGTCACCACATCACCAGTGCAAAGCCTTCCCTTATATTTCCAAGAAAGAAGCATAAACCTTTGTGCTGTAGCTGCTTACATGGCAGGGTCTAATGGTCACCAATGTTCTCTTCGCTTGAAATGTCATCTGTTCCATAGCTTAGAGACTTCTCTCGAAATGATTTCTGCTCCACAGGGCCTGGTAATGGATAGGGGCCCAGCCATACCCTCTCACATCTGATTTTACTTTTTTTCTTCGAACTCTACATATGTAGACCAATTTAGAATGACAGACTTTAATGATCCTTGCCATGGATGTGAGTAAAAAGTGGACCAATATTTGATAAGGAAGAATAAATAAACTATGCTGTACCCAAGTGGGGTTCCATGCCTGCCTGTCCTCTTCAGTTCTTACCAGAGGGTTCATAACTGGGAGCCTTCTTTGCTTTCCTATCCATGATGTTTTGCTATCCATGATGACTTCTTTTATTCCATTTCTTCTTTCAAGTTCCATCTTTCTTATCTCTTCCAATCTATGCTCACTCACCATGCACCTCTATGGTGCCCTTAGTGATAATAATTTTTAATTTTTTAAAGACTGTACTATTGCATATCTTACAAAAACACCAATAGAATACTGGTATTAAAAAGACAGACTGGGGTTTCTGAGAGAAGTTTAGAGCCAATATAGGAGCTTTGCAGTTTCACGAAGGCAATCTAGGCCATTTTAATGGGCCTAATGGGTTTAATTCTAGGCCCAACGTTGTCTATCTCATATATAGTCATTCCTCATCCACTTAGTTTTTTTCTCTGTGGATGGTTGGGCCAAACTCTTTGGAGTGGTTATGGTTTTCTTCCAAGAAGCTCTTTAACTTTCTAGGGCTTGATGCACCTAGCCCAATGTCATTTGCAAGTAAGAACATCTGGAGGACCTCACCATGACTAAAAAAGGAAAGTTACCTTTTTCTCTAATTGTTTCCTATTTAGCAGATTTAGATTTTGTATTTTATGCTATCTTTATGACATTGAAGTTAATGTCTTAAGTAACAATGTAGACTTTTTAAGATTTTAAAGAAGTCACTGGAGAAAAATTCATTATCAATGGACCAATATTGTGATTTTTTTCCCCCAGAACTTAGTAAAGTATGAAAATAAGAAAAATGTTACCACACCCAGAACGAAATTGCCAGGCTCAGATGGTTGCAGTTCTATCAAAAAGGAACAGAAGGTTTGTTGTTGTTGTTTTTTTTTCATTCCCCCTAATAGTGGCCATTAGTTTGAATTTTATTTGCAGAAATTTTAACTGACAGTGAAGTGTCATTATCAGTTATTATCTCATGCCTTCACCAGCTCAGTCTCCAGCTTAAATCCCTGTACAGCCTGTCTGCTGCTCCTGTCCAGGGGCATCTGCTTAGTCAGAGTCCTCTACTGAAGCTTTCCCTTCTTCCAATCTGGCCTAAGCCCCATCTCCATTTTAGTTTCCTTTCTTTGGCCTTGCCTCCAAAGACAGCAGTGTCCATGATTGGGATAAACTGTAATTTATCTTCATTGTGAAAAGATCAAAATTAATATTACCCTGAGTTTCTACTGTATTGATTCTACAATGTAATTGATTTTATGCTGTATTGATTTTTATAATTGAGCCTGCATCTGCCTAAAGCCACCTTTCTATGTCCTTGAGTTAAGGTCAAGAATTCAGTTCAATGGGAAAAACTGTTACCTACCATATCTTCAGCTCCTGGGAAAATTCTAGGACATCTGTTTGTTATCTTTAAAGGCCTATAAATTGATTTGGTATGTTTTCACAAGGCATATTGTCTGTCCTTGCCTGTCATTGTACAATTAAGGAGGGTCTCATCTCCCTGAGGACCCCTCCTACGAGCCAGGAAGGCTGCTATCCCTGGTCCATTAATAATGTCCTCAGGACGAGACAGTCCCATAATCAATCAAGTATTCCTTAATGACAGCTCCAAGTGAGTGCCAGCCCCATTTCCTTGATGTAACCAATGATGTTGTTCCCTCCTCAATGATGCTGTCTACCTTGTAACCAATTACATTATCTTTCCTACCTGCCCATTTCTGTTCTTTGTTCTCTTGTACTTTCCAAAACTATATGATGTCTAGAAAACTCTACCTCAGGGTCTTTGGTTATTGAGAGGACATAGAACCAATTTATTGGTTACTGCTAGTCTAACAAATAAATTGATCATATTCGAACCATTATCTCTCAATTTACCTTAATTTTCAAATGTAACAATTGGTAGACTATAAAGAGGCTCAACAATTTGTTAAAAAATATCAAATTGCTTATACTAGGCTTACAGGAGATATTAAAGTTATAAATGTTTTGTATTTATTGTTTTTTACTTATACAAGTCATATCTTTGAGTTGGAACAAGTAAAAGAAAAGAGATTTGCCATACTATAATAGTAAAGAAATGAAGCAAAGTTAAAGTCATCTAATTCCCAGTACTTTTTTACCTTTTTATAAATTTTTGAAAAATGAAAATGTTTGTATACCCACTAGGTTTCCACTACCCTGTCCTCTAGAAAGGCATGTTATTCTTTACGGAATCAGGAGCCTACTCTCAGCAGAAAGTCATCCACTAAGAAAAAAGATGGAACATTACAAAAGTTTGGGGAGTTCTTGCAACACTCACCAACAATTCTTCACTCAAAAGGTTTGTAGAAAATTAGTTAAGTGTATGAGGTCCAGTAAAATTTCCTTCCCTTTATCCTTGAAGAAAATCTCATGTACTTTTTTTTTTTGGTATGATCCTAGTTAAATCTTTTCTTAGATTTTTTTTTTATAAAGCTCTAATAGTCTCTAATGTCACACATGCCTATTGATTAAAAATGAAGAAGGTTGGATGGAAAACCCATCAGAGGAAAAGTTAGTGGAAACAACCTTCTGGAACACACTGCACCCTGGCTACCTTCTCTAGTATAGGCTGCTGCTTCTCTCATGACCCCTGAGCATACTAGGCCAGGAAGATGAATATGCATACTTCCTCCAAGGATTTATTAATCCATGCTCCTCTTTGCCACTTCTAGAACCATCCCTCTTTCACTGTCATTTGGCAACCTCTCCTCATTTGAGATTCACTCTATCTCACCATGCCCATATTCTTGTCACAGTCATCTGTTGGCATCTAGGTATTAAAATACCTAGATAATATATAATAGATAATATAAATACTTACATAAATATAATATATAATATAAATACTTAGATAAATGAAGATAAGTCTTCGTTTATCTAAGAGTTCAGAAGTTGGCCTGTAGTTTTTCTTTCAACCTCAATCTCTGCCTAATATATGGGGACTTTAGTATGTATGTTGATATCCCCTCAAACACCCAGGACTCCCCTTGATTCTCAGCTACCATAGCCTACATCTTCACTCCATCTCAGCCACCTAGATGGATGAGCATACTCTTAGTCTTGCCATCATCCATCTTTCTGCTGTCTCCTTGATCTAGTGTTCTGAAATTCCTCTATGATCATAGTATCCTAATTTTTTTTTTATCTTCTGCCTCACTTTTTAAAAAGTTATTCTTAGTTTTCACTGTGACCTTTAGGCTTTCCCTATTCTGATCTATCACACTTGTTCTGGCTTTACTGTTCTCCCTTAAGAGGCCTGACGGTTGACCATTTCAACTACAGGCTGTCCTTGGTCCTAGAATCCTTTGTCCTTGCACTACTTGTACCTTGCCAGATTCCAGTGCTGGGATTTGCAGAATCTTTGACCATTCCTACTCCTAAATGTGAGTGTCTCTTAAGTTCCGTCCTGGGTCCTCTAATCTCTGTACATTGTGTCCTTTGGTGATCTCATCTGCTCTCATGGGTTTAGATATTATCCCTTTGATGATGACTCCTAAATCTTTACGTTCAGTTCAACAAACATTTATGGCATCCCATGTCATAGATTCGGGGGGGATATATGTTTAGCCTTAATCTCTTTCCTGAATTCCAGCCACACATCATGGCTGCTGAACATCTTCACTTATAGTCCTATTGGCAACACAAACTTATCATGTTAAGAACAGTTTTTTTCCCCCACAATCCATCACAACTCAAATCTTCCCTGTTTCTGTTGAAGACAGCCCCCATCCTTATGATCAATGATTGCAGTCATCCCCCTCTTTTCTACCACCCACGTCTAATTTTTTGCCAAGTCTTGTTGATTCCATCTTCACATCCATACCTATCTCTCCCATCATATGGTCACCACTCAAGTATAGGACCATCAACACTTCCCACTTCAACTCTTATATGTGTCCTAATTAGAAACCTTTCTAGTTGCATTTTAATACAGCCTATCCTTCACATGGCTGCCAAATTAACATTCCTAAGATATAGGTCTGATCATGTCATTTTTCTGTTTAAAAATTATTAGTAGCTTCTTATTGCCTTTAGGATAAAATTCAAACCCTTCAGCCTGATATTTTCTTAATTTTCTCTCCCATTTCTTTCTTCTCCTGTTTATCCTTCCCATCAAAAAAAGAAGAGAAAGAAAGAGGGAGAGAAAAGCAAAACTCTTGTAACAAATATAGAGAGTCAAGCAAAACAATTCTGGCTTTGGTCTTATCTAAAAAAACATGTCTTGGTCTCTACTCTGAGTCCATTGCCTCTGTCAGGAGGTAGGTATCATGATTCATCACTTGTCCTCTGATCAAGGTTGTTTGTGTTTCAAGTTTTGTTATTGTACAAATTGTTCTCTCTTGTCTGCTCATTTCACTTTGCATCAGTTCATATGAATCTTCTCAGGCTTCTCTGTAACTATTCCCTACATCATTTTTTTCTTCCCATGAGTATATGGGGTGTTCAGGGAGAATAGCACTTCTAGAGTGAGAGCTTGTCAAGCCCTCTTCAGGGCTGCTCATCCACCTTTGGCTTCCACCTGATTCACTCCACTCTTCCCTGTAACTTCAAGAAACTGTAGCACGTGCAGTGGTCACATCCTGGTAAAACTGTCTTGGCAGACAGGCTAAACCAGGTTGAGAGTAGCTGATAGGCCTTAACTCATCAGTGAGTTGGGGGATGTCCTCTAATTTCTCCCGGCAGAATGGCAGATGAGAATAATTTGCTTCAATAACCATTAAGGTGGCAGAAGAAGGCACTGTGGAGCGCTGCTTAGAGCTTGGTCAGACATCAAAAATGCCAAGGTCATCTGCTGCATCTCCTGCCATCGTCAGTCATTTTGATTTTTGTTCTGCCACTGGACTTTGATGACTCAGGAAGAGAGTGAGGCTGACAACTTTGTGCAACTCTGCCTTGCTTAAATCCAATTAACAAGCAAGTCAAGACATCACCTGTGATGTCATCGGTCCTCTTCAAAAAAATGAAGAATGAGCAACAGTTCCATTACATTCATAGGCCATAATTGGTTCAGCAATTTCCCAGGTGATGGGTGCTCCCTCAGTTTGCTATTCTTTGCCTCCACAAAGAGATCAGCCCGATATTTAAAGCCTTATTTCATATTATTATCTTTTTATATACTCTTACTTTCAGTCAGACTAGTCTCCTAGCTATTCTCCAAATGCAACATTCCATCTCCTGCCCCTGTAGCTGTCCCTGTGTCTGGGATGCACTGCTTCCTCATTCTGAGCCCCTCCTCTTCCCCCCTTTAATTCCTAGCTTCCTTTGAAGTTCAGCTCACCTATTTCCTCCTTTTTTTGGATCCTCCTGGTTGTTAGTGCTCTATTTTTCCTGAAACTACTTTGTAAAATATCAACTCCTTCAGGGCAAGGGCTTTTTTGTTTCTGTCTATATTTCTTAGTTCCTGAAACGGTGTTGTGTGTGTGTGCTTATATTTATATATGGCAGGAACTTATTAAGTATTAGTCAAATCTGTTGAGAAGAGTATTATTGGAAGTCTTTATTTACTTCTCTTCCCAAAGTGTCATTTCAGGAGCCATTACCTCTGGCACCTTTTCAATGAATCCACTCCCTTTTCAGTAGAGCTGTCCCTGGAATGTTTTCCCCCCCTAGTAATGTAAATTGTTTTGTTAAACAAATTTTAAAAAAGCAAACTTCATTTTCTAGCAAAGAAGCTGATAGAAAAAATGAGCCCCTCAAAGCCTGCTGCTGCTGAGACAGGTAAAGAAAATGGATCGCGACCAAAGCGAGCCAAACGGAAATTGTATACGAGTGAGATTTCCAGTCCTTTAGATATTGCTGGCCAAGTGGTAAGTAAAATTCCTGTGTTTGGGGTTTGGCAGTCAGGGCCATGTTAATATTCCAAACGTTAATGTGAATTTCTATCCTGACCAAATGTGTTAGAAAAAATGCTTTGTATGCATCTGTAGGAATGCACATATATTTTCTGCTTCAGACATGTTAATTCTGTGTTTGTAAAAGTTATAATTATGCACATGAAAGCCACCTTCATTTTAATTTTTTAAAGCCATTGCAAGCTTTTGCCGTCACTACCACAGTGATTCAGTTAGTAATTTACTTGCCTGGGTAATCCCCAATCATTGGAGAATGAAAATAGAAGGATGCCATGGTCCATTAAGAAGTGTCAGGAGTGTAAAAGCTTATGTTGATTTCCTGGTGAGGAAATCCAAGGATAATATAGGATTTTTAAAGCCACATGGTAGAAAAGAGAATCAAAAATGGGATAGGATTGATGCTTAGGGTAGATGGATGATCACTGTGGCTGGAGAGGATATTTGCTCACTGGTTATTTTGCTTCTCTCCTTTTTTGGAAGAGAAGGATCTTTGAATTGGGAAGTACAAGACAGAAATGGCTAATAGGAATTTGATACTGTCATTGATGAATTCTGCTCACGAGGCCCAGACGAATTACATCTAAAGACCCTGCAAGGACTTCGGGATTAAATTGCAGCCACTTTAAGTCATCAATCAGTCAATCACCAAGTGCTTATTAAACATTTGTTACTTGCTAGTGATCTTTGAAAGATTGTGGAGAATGGAGACATACCACAGGACTGTAGAAGGATCCAATTTTCACAACAGGGAAGGGAGTGTCCAGTAAGCTTGATTTCAATTCCAATGTGTAAATTCTAGAAGGTTTAAAAGGATACTTGATGCTTTTGGGAAAGAAAGTTGTGATCACAAAGAGCTAGCTAGCATGACTTCACCAATAACAGGTCATGCCAGACTAACCTTGTATCCTATTTTGACAAGTATATGAGTCTAAGAGATTAGGGGAATGCTGCTATGTAAATAGTTTACTTATATTTTGGCAAAGCATTCAATAGTCTCTAATGCTATTTTTGTTGAAAAGATGGTGAGGTGTGGGCTAGATAGCAGTGTGCTTAGATGAATTTTTTGTTGTCTGTCTTTCATTCTTGAAGAGGACCATGACATCAGGAAGATGATGCCATGACTTGCAATTCAATTGCTCCCTCAGGTGAGGGAGGGCTGTGCAAGGTCACTAGCCTCGATTTTTCCTCTGGAGCCATCTGGGTTACTGGATCAGAGCTATTGGAAATGGCCTTCCATGCCGTGGGAGACCTTAGCCTTTTTAAGCTAAGGTCTTTCTGAGTTCACTTTGACTGAGGCAACACTGAGTGGGCAATACTGAATCACCCATTCAGTGATTAAGGCTAGTTAAGAAATGAGCCAAGGATTGGCCCCTTTTACCTAATTAAAAAAATAATAATAATCTGGGAGGGGAAGACCCCAGGGTTTCTGGCTAAAACAGAAACAATTGCTATTTACACTCATTCTGAGCCATCAGAGCCTACAGTGACCCAGTGAGGCTTGGGTTGGGACCTACGGGCCAATCAATAAGAGCCAGATTGAACTGTGTTTAAGGCATGGTCTTTAAGAAAGAAATCTAGCCAGTGAACCCCAAGATATCTTGCTAGGTTTCGGCCATCAAAATTTACATTCCTGTGGGCATAGCACCCGGAGGTAAGGTCATGGGACTCCATATGGACAGGGGGAGAGAAAGGAGGGAAGGGAAGGGAAGAGGTGAATTTAGAACTGGTTGAATATACAGGCAGCGGGAGTACTTATTAATGAAAAAAAAAAATCAGAGACTACTCCAAAAGTTTGCTACTACTTCTGTTTTTTGGGTTTTAAAAAAAATGTGTGTGTGTGTGTGTGTGTACATATATACACATGTGACAGACAAGCAAGGAGTGGAACACACATAACAAAGTCTAGCAAGATGATATTTGTAAGACATAAGGTGAATGTAATAAAAAAAGGGTTTTGGAAAGGAAGTGGAGAGGTGGTGGTGTGGTGGGGAGAGAAAACTTCTTAGTTAAAATCTACCTGGCTAGACAGCACAGAGCATAACTACAGGGCAGGAGTTGGCCAGCTATAGCCCAAGGAGCAGATCTGGCCCATAGATTTCTATATAGCCCATGAGCTAAGAATGATTTTTACATTTTCAAATATAATAAAACTATATTAAGATGTAACAACCATTCTTAACTCTTGGGCAGTACAAAAACAAATGACCAGCAGTACAAAAACAGGTGGCAGACTGGATTTGGCCTGTGGGCCATAGTTTACCTGGTGTAAGACACAAAAATCAAGAATCCCTGGCATAGAGAGTCTATTTATAAGATTTTCAGATGACACAAAGCTGGAAGATATTGCTAATGAACTAGACGACAGAGTCGGTATCTAAAAAGTTATTGACAAACTAGCTCATTGGACCAAATTAAATAAGATGAAATTTAGTAGGCCAATAAGATGTAATTATTAAATTACTATTAAGGGATAAATGGAGTTTTAAACTTAGGTCAAAAAATCCACTTCACAGGGGTCTGGAGGCATCAGGAGACAAAAAGGAAGAGGGGAAGTGTAGCTTAAAGTAGAGAAGATTTGAGGGGAATATGGCAGCTGTTTCCAAGTATTTAAAGGGCTATCATGTGAAACAGTTGCCAAGTTTGCTCTTCTTCAAAGAGGCAAATTAAGGTTTAATGTAAGTGAAAGCTTCCTAACAATTAAAATTGTCTAAAATTGGATCAGACAGTCTTGGAAGGTGGAGGAGGTGTATTCTCCCTCACTTGAGGTTGAAACAGACTGGACCACTATTTTGGGAATGGATATTGTCGTGCAGATCCCGTTTTGACTCTAGGTTGGATCAGAATGTCTTCTGGGAATCCTTCCAACTCTGAATTTCTGTGATGCTATAACCCACTATTATTATTACTTTTGCTGTTAGAACATAAATAAATAGCTGCCCCCCCAAAAAAAATCTTTTCAAATTAGCACCCAATCTCTTCTCTGCCCTTTTTCTATAAAATTGAACTACAGATAACTGTAAGAAAAGTTCTGATTTTTCACATGTACATTTGCTTGGTTGAACAAGCAGGAAAAGTTGAATGGAAATGCAATTATAGAAGAGAATTGAGCAGGAAGTAATCCATAAACGTTTTGAAAGATCTGCTAGCAACTGTGGCAGGCTGCCAAAGGAAAGAAAGAAACTTAGAGGCAGAAGAGTAGGACAGGGGAAAAGTAGGAGTTGTTCAGTTATTTTGAAATCTATTTGGATGTTGATCACTCTCCTGTCCATAGTTCCTTGCTTATTAGAATAATAAAATTGAAAAAAAAAACCAAAACAAACCAACCCTATAGTGATAACCTAGTCAACCCCCATCACTTTACTGAGGGGAGAATATGAAGCCCAGAGGCAGAATTGATTTGTCCAGAATCACACAACATAAAATGTGGCGAATGAGTATCGAAAGCACTGGGCTAGTTAGTTAAGCACTGGAGGAGTTAGATAATTTCAGACCTAGTAGCAGCCCTCATGGGACTCATAATCTGTTTCTTCTTTCCTTATTTGAATGTCACTTCCCAGCCCTTGAGCTGTAGATTTCACAACTAACTGTAAGCTTCTCTTTGACCTGATCAGCTAGATCCACTACAAAGCTGTTTCTTCGTGTTTTTTCAGCCTTGATTTTGCTGTTTCTGTGCTTCTGTGAAACTCAGCATAATTTGTTTCTATAATCAAGTATTTTTAAATAATTTTTTGAGTAATATTTCCATACTTTAATGTATGGATTATTAGGTGCTTTTGTTTTATGGTTAGGTATTTTCTAAGGGGAAAAAAAGAATTGTTTCATTTCTATAAAAATTGTTTTTCCATACCTTTAAATGGGGTGCCTCGTTAGGATATCAAAACAAATGGCAGTTATCTATGCCTGTGTTACTACTTTTAACTCATAATAATTTAAGTACAAGTACAAATAATAATTTGTGACCTCGTTCTTTCTCTAAAAGTCATGTAAATCTTAAACATGTGAAATAACTCCATTTCAGATTTTTATGGATCAAAAAGAAAAGGAAAGCGATCACCAGATTCTTAAACGAAGACTCCGAACCAGAACAGCCAAATGAGTCAGATTTGAAAAATATTTTAACGGACTTCTCATTCTTAATCAGTGTAATTTATGCCCTAGCTTTCTTTTTTTTTTAAAAGATGGTTTGTACATATTATGATGCCTAAATTCTCTCTGTATACATTCATGTTTTTATACACATGCTTTATACTTGTAATTCATTAAAGAAGAATTTATCAAGAACTATTCATTTTGTGAATATTGAGGCTTGGAAAAGTAACCTTTTTGTGTGTATGAATTTCTTCCAGATGACTAAATATGAAGGTGTGAGGTTAATGGGGTTAAGCAGGATACCACTTCCTGATTTGTTTTTCCTAGGCTTTGGTACATGGGAAAGAAACTCTCTGACTATATACATTATCTCTTTGGGCTGGAAAGGGAAAAGATTAAAAAAATATTAGCCAAATATTCATGAATCTGTGATCTCATCAGTTTGGAAATTCTTTCCACCAGTGCAGATCACAAGATGTCCATACCTGCCTATTCTGTGCTTTTTTTGTCCCTGTCTTCCCGTAGATTTTCTATAGGTAATCCATCCAAAATACTGGAATGCTCTTTTTTCTCCAGATATTGAGCACTATATCATCCCTCAGCCTCATCATATGTCTCACCCATCTAAATATTCTATGCATCACATACATTTATAAAAATTGATGATGTGCTATTGTATACAAAGGTGTAAGTAATAAAAAGCTTTTTCAGTCTATGCTGATGGATCTGTGGTCTCATTGATAGAACGGTTTCCTCCCCTGAAGTCTATGCCAAACAGATCCACACTTGCTAACCCTGTGTAACTTTTCCATGTCCTTCCATAAGTTTTCTCCATGGGCTCTCCCTATTGTGCTGGGGTCTTTACTATATTTTCTTGATGACAACTGAGCATGCAGGTTGCTCACCAATTGTCTCCTGCTCTGCCTACTTGACCAACTAGTGTTTTTTGATACATCTGTTAGGCCATTAGTATTTTGCGATTTGTAATACGGTATAGCCTATTCATACCTTTCCATTGCCCTTTAAACGATCTCCAACTTCAGTTTCTTAGAGAATAATGTGTTCCACAACTTTCACACATACAGCATCACTGGAAGAATATGGATGTTAAGAAATGTGGGTTTTGTTTCATCAGCTGCTGCTCCTCAGCAACTGAAAGGATTGCATTTGTAATCTTGGCCTGAAAATTGTCCAGAGAATAAAGTTTTGATGCCTACAGGACAGAAAAAATTAAACGGAGATAGAGCAGGTGACCAAGGTGGTCAAGCAAAAGCTCAAGCCTCTGTGACTCCCCTAGTCTGAAAAAGTGTTATCCAGAAACTGTCACAGAGTGCCCCATCTTGTTAAAATAAAATAAAATAAAAAAAACTAGTCAAAATTCACAAACCTAAATGTAAAAGAAATATAAATGATTAAACTTCCAAATTTTTCTTTTGGGGGGTAAGCTGGTAGCATTTATACTTCTGAAGTTATTGAAGCTTCAAACTGCCTTAGGACTTTTGGAACACCCTGCAATTTTTGCTAACAGAAAGTGGGAGGATCTTAGAGAGTCGATCTACTAACACACACATAAGAATCACATAAAGATAACTCCAGAATAGTCTTTACAGGAATAATTAAAATTATAAATAACTGGAAAGAGATTTACTAGTCATTACCGGTCTGTGTCAATATAATGATGATTATAGCTAAACTAGCTTGCAATGTTCATATTATATCACTCAAACTACCAAGGGGTTTCTTTGTAGAACTCAACAAAATAAAATCCATTGGGAGAAACAAAAGGTCAAGAATTTCAAGGGAAATAACCATCCTGTAAATACTAGAGGTATGCTTATTACCATTTTACAGACTGGGGAATGTTGGGGCTGGGATTTAAGTCTAGTGAGTTTTCCACTATACTGGGCTGCTTCTCACATACTCCAGTAAGTTCCAAATGGATAAAATATCTAAATTTTAGCAATGATGTAGGGGGAAAATACTAGATAAGAGTGGAAAGTCATATCATTTACAACTATTGTTAGGGGAAAAGTTCATAATCAGACAAAAGATAGAAAAAGGGTTGATAGGGCCATGGGGAGATAGGTACATGAATACACCATAGGTGGAACTGTGGATCTGTCAATTTTATTTGGAAAGTAATTTGGAATTATATGAGAAAAGAGGGGAAGGGAACAAGCATTTATGCTTTACAAATACCTCACTTGGTCCTCAAAACAACCCTGGGAAGTAAGTGCTACTTTAATCCCCATTTTACATTTGAGGAAACATGGGCAGACAGAGGTTATGTGACTTGCCCAGGATCAGAAAGCTAGTAAGTGTCTAAATTTGAACTCAGATCTTCCTGATTGCAGCCCCAGCACTCAGTGATCAAAAGAAAAGTTCCAAGTATACAAAAATATAACTAGCAACTCTATTTGTAGTGGCAAAAAGCTAGAAACAAATTATGAGTCTATCATAGAATCACCCTGGACAGTATCTTAGAGTCAGGACTGGGGTCCAGACAAGTTAAATGGTCAAGCAAGGTCACACAATGAGGGATCAGTGGTCAAACAAGTTGTCAAATATGAATGTAAGGGAATATATTGTTGTATTGTAAAGAATACAAAGTACTGTAAAGAACATAAAAAATTTGCAGAACTGAGAGAAACATTGGAAGACATGTCAGCTGATGCAATGCAAAGAAAGCAACCATAGTGAATAAGGTACAAAATTACTACAACGATGTAAATGAAGATGAAAAGATAACAGAATTCAAGTCAAATACTTTGGTTAATATTGGTCCAGATGACTGATTTTTGAAAAATAAAAATTTAATCGATATTTTTTGTTCTTACATCATTTACCTTTCCCACTGTATAGAGCTATCCCTTAGAATAAAGAAGGGGGAAAAAATAGGAAAAAAAGTTCAGTAAAACCAACCAACCAACATCAAAAAGTCTGATGTTTTGTGCAATGTTGCAGACCTGTGGTCTGCAAAGAAGCAAGGGAGGTGTCTTCTCATATCTATCTCCTCTTAGGGTTCAGCCAAGCATGGTCCTTTTAGTCATGGCATTCAGTTTGGATTATTTTGTTGTTGTTCTTTTAATTTACATTGCTGTCGTTTTTATGTATATTGTTTGCCTGGTTCTACTTGTCTTTCCATACTTCTCCATATTCATGTTTATCATGACTTGTAGCATAGTAAAATTTTATTACATTCATAATTATTCCCAATCAATGGATATCTACTTTGTTCCTAATTTGCTGCTACCATCAAAGGGGCTGCAGTAAATATTTTGGTATACACAGGATCTTTCTTTTTGACATTGACCCTCTTGATGTACAGGCAATCCTCAACATTCACGTGTTTAACTTTTGGGACTTCATGCCTTCACGTGATTTTGTTAGTAACCTCATTTTCAATTTCTCATTGGCAATCATGCACATTTCCAGCTATAAAAAGTAGAGAAAAATTGAGAGGTATGACGTGGACAAGTTTTGTGGAGTGGCTGGTATCACACCAGGCACTTCACTGATATTTTACCCTATTTTACTTATAAAGAGCTCCTCGGGCATTTGTTGCATATTTTCATTGTTTGCCTTTAAAACTCAGTTTTTGTATTGCAATTATGTTTCTGTTGATCTGGTCAAGCTGGTATGTCCTTCACAGTCCCCAATGCCATCCCATCAGCCATGAAGAACAGAGTTTTGAAAGTGATTTAGAGACCTAGTCAGTCTCAGCATCTTCCAACAGTAGCGACTAAAATCCCAGCAGCCTCTTCCTTGGTTTTCAGAGGGCAGCCAAGGTAGAGAGGTTTACAGCAAGATGGTATACAGTACAACACCCCCACACCACCACCTGACACAGTGGAAGGTAAGATTCAGGTTAAAAAAAAGTTTTTGTTTTAAGAATTTTATTTGCTGTATGTTATTTATGGTGCTGTAGATTTCATGTATTACAAAAAGTGAATGTTGTCTGAAATCAATGTTCTTTTAAATTGAGATATTAGCACAAAAGGTCACAGAATTCTAGGGAATTACTAGTGAGGAAAAGTGTTTTGTATATTACCACTTTTGTATACTGTGTTTTATGGGTTGTTTCATGGTTATTGTGTTAGGAAAAGTGCGTATTATCAGAATTAATGTTTTGTTATAAAGAATGGTATGCAGAAAAGTGTATTTTCAGCAACCTCAAGTGAAAGATTATAGTTTTTGGTGGTTGCGGGAACCTAACTCCCTATTTCCCATAGGTTCAATATGTCAACATTTGTGTTTTTTATTTTTGCACTGTTTTCTAGGAATATTACCCCTGTGAAAGTTGAGGATCCAGCAGTGGAATCTCTGGCTCAAAGGCTATGGATATTAGATACCCTCTTTGCATAATGCCTCATTATTCCCCCCCAGAATGGCTGTGCCAATTCAAAACTCCCAGTCCTTTCCTGGTCCTGTTCATGACTTCCAGACTTCAAAACCATCTTTGTTGCTGTCTCATCCTGGAACTTCTTAGTGCGTGGGAGCTCCTCGTCCTGGAACATCTAACCGCCTCTGTGGCCTCAGGTGAACATCCAACTTAAAATACCAAAAACTCAATGAATGAGCACAAAAAGGAATATGAAAATCTAAATAAGTATTTTTTGTTCAAATGAAAACTATAGTAAGTGAGGTGTTCCACCCAAGAACGCTACCAAAATTCAGTCAGAAGCCCACTGGTCCTTCCAGTAAAGTCAGTGCCAATGTAGGTAAAAAAAAGCCACTAACTCCCAGCACCCCCAGCAACAAGCCAGAGACATGTAGAATCTGCAGGACTCTGTGTTCAGAAGCAGCACTGCGACTCTCTACAAAGCCTCAGGATAGTCATTAATGCTCAGGATCACAGAAATGTACAAGGACCTTAGAAGCCACCACGAATGGCTGCAACAAACATAGTGTGGCAATACCAGGTCAAGACAGTCTAGGTGCCTACAGTCTGTCTTGAAACACCATAGGAGGCCCTGAAGATCTAGTGCTCTAATATCAGTGATGGGGGAGGGGAGAGGTGGGAGGATGGGAGATGGCAGTCAGGTCAGGTATCCAGGTGACCCAGAGGAAGAACAAGTAGGACCAATGACTCCATCCAAAAATATCAGGGAGCAGAATCTGACTGGCATAAAGCCCAATTCAGGAGCTAAAGCTTGAGACTTGAGTAAATCAAAGAAGATGTAAGAATAAAGAAT